TAAAATATAACTCGGATCATTGCATTTTGTTTTTCCTTAGTTATACCTAAGCAAGTGAAATGAGACAGACACTGACAAGTTATTGAACTCGCTGGACATTTTTCAGGCGGTACAAAAGGGTGTTTTCATTATGGAAGCCACCACTTTGAGTCCCACTACAGTGAACCACTAGCCTTCAGCATTCAACCCTACTCTTAATCGTTCATGTAACAGACACTTCAGTGTAATTGGTTGGTTGGCAGATATAATTATCTGAGAGGATTTTTCCAGACTTTTGTCTCAGAGGAAGCAGGGACAGGCCTAGGGGTAGAATCATGAGGAGACTCCATTTGCAGCTGCTATAACTTGGAATGAGTAGGGTGAGATGCAGGCTATGGAGAGAGACTCCATAGGACTAGGCTTAGGTATGAACTTCTGTCCTCTATCAATTTATTTAGTATTCAAAATGTATTTTTTTCATGGGTATTAAAATGTTCAGGAAAAGGAATTATCTCAACCTTCTGTTTTTGTTGATTGATATGTAGAAATACAGAAAAATGCATATTGCTTAACAATACAAATAATTTGCACCTGAAATTCATTTGCTTAGTCCCTTGGAGCCCTCCAGAACAAAATGTTTGTAACAAATACAGCTGTGCTGGCCATATTAATACATTAGAGAAAACAAAAACTTGGTGTCTGGTCCAAGGAGCTTATAGTCCAAAGGAAGTCAGAGAGGAGTTTTGAGAAACCTGGCTTCTAGTTTGGGTTCGCTTTTTCCCAAAAGTGCCCTGCACTTTTCTGATGGTGTGGTTTTGTTCTCACTGATTTTTTTTTAAGCCAGAATGCCCATTCTCTTCACCAGCCATCAAAAGTCTACCCAGGCTTCAAGGCCCCACTTAAATGTCACCTAGTCTGTAAAGCTTTCCTGTCTCCCACCCTCCCACAATCGGATGTCTTTCCCACCCTCCTTTGTGCTCTTGCAGTCCTTTTGTTTGCTCTTGATTACACTACCCAAATCCACTTAGAGTGGTGTCTGTGATTTAAGGGTCAGGACCCTGCTTTACTCATCAAACTCTCTCTCCAAGCACTTACAGGATGACAAAAAAGTCTGGAAACACAGAAGAAAATGGATATTTAAATAATGTTAGTTATATTGTCACATAATATGTTGAATACCTTTTCCTTCAATCTCCAGACAACTTCACAAGTAAAATGCCTACAAATTTAAAACCACAAGTGCAATCATTAATCTGGGAAAACTTTAAAAATAAATGAGAAAATTTCCCTATGTTTCTCAGCATTTTGAACTTCTTTACTATGGTACCTTCTCCAAATTACTGAATCATACTGGGGCTGTCTTTGATCTCGGCACTTCCTTTTTCTTATCTGTAAAATGAAAACACTGTCTTCCCTATCTCTTTCACTGGGTTATCAAAAGGGTAAATGAGAAAATTGCTATGCAACAGGAAAAAGCAGTATGAAAATGCAAAATATTGTTCTCATTAACTATACAAGGATTTACTCTGTGTCCATATTGTAGCACTTGAGTATGCGGACTTTGGCTAACCCCATCACAGCTGCATTAGAGAGGATTCTCCATGAGCTGCTTAAGAGGGGAAGCCAAGAGGCTGATTACAGCTTAGGGCCCTGCCACAGCCATCAAAAGTTACCAAAGGGATGCTGGGACTTCAAGTTTGTTTCCAATTGCGCAGGAGGAAAGTCATGGCCTCAGCCACCTGCTTCCTTTCTCCACCATGACTCACACCTTTCAGGTCCACTTGGATGGAAGTTCAGATGAGATCTGCTAAGGCCAACTGCCCAAGGACCTTGATGGTGCTAAAGCTCAGGTAGCTGTGTGAAAGGAGGAGCAAGAGGCTGACACCTGAAGCCCAGAGGGACTGAGGAACGTCTCAAGACACTTTTTAGCTTATTCAGAAAAAACAGTTCACCCTCCATCATTGGTGGTGTAAGCATGAGGCTAATGCCTCCTGATAGGATGCATTGAGAGAGATGCAACATCACTTTTATGACATTTCTGCCTCAAATGCACAATCTCAATTTAATCACAAGGAAACATCAGACAAACCTAAACTGGAGGACATTCTACCAAGTAACTGGCCTGTACTCTTCATGTCGACAATATACTTTCCTGAAAGATAAAAAAAAGCCTCAAGAACTTTTCAGATTAAAGAAGAATAAAGAGACATGACAACTGAAGGTAATGTGTGATCCTGGATTGGATCCTGGACCAGAAAAAGAACGTTATTGGGGCAATTGATAAAACTTAAATATGGACTGTAGAGTATATAATAGTATTGCATTAGTGTAAATTTCCTGATTTTGATAATTGTACTATGGTTATGAAAGAAAATGTCCTTATTCTTAAGAGATATATACGAAAGTATTAGAGGTAAAAGGGCATATGTCTGTGACTTAATCTCAAGTGGTTAAAAAAATAGAAAAATGCAAATTTGTGTGTGCAGAGAGAGAGAGAAAACACAAAAAATAAATAAGTCAAAATATAAACAACTGGTGAATCTGTGTAAAGAGTATACAGAAGTTCTTTATATTATTCTTGCAACTCATAAATTTGAAATGATATTAAAGTAAAAAGCTAAAAAAATAGTAAGAATTATACAAAATCTAAATGGTGTTTTAAAAGTTTACGCTAGAAAATTATATAATTTATAACCTAATGTTTGTTTGCCTAACTGTCATAAAAAGTAATTTTAAAAATAAAATAATACACTAAAAATTCCACAGTTAATAAAACAGTGAGGTGCTAAGAAAATGCTGCCAGCTGTAGCTTATTCTAATCCTTCAATGGTTAAATTCGTTCTTAGAATTGAGTCAAAACAAGAACAACAAAAAAACCCTCACAAAGAAAAAGCCTGCAAACCCAACCAGGAGAAACGGTTTAACAATGCCAACACTCACCCCAGTGGGCTTATGGATGATGGGTCCTCAGCCTAAATGAACTGAAAATGTCAATTGAAAAGCTGAATGACTCAAGTGTGCAGAGCAAATGCCCAAGCTGCCCCTAGCCCTTTGGGGAAGGTACTGATGGAAGGTAGTGGGGTAGGTCACACTTTCCAGAAGGAAAGTAAAGGCAGAAATGCATAGGGCAAAGACACAGTAAGAAGCAGTGTAGCATAGGAGGTTCTGCGTGGAGAGTGGAACAACAGAAGTAGGCTACTCCCCATCTTGGAATGTCCACATTAACAAGCTTTGCCACTCAGAAGAATAACTGAAAGCTGACTGCAAAAGCAATTTTCATCCATTTCACAATCTCCGGGTGCTGTTGGCTACGCAGTTCAGCAGATCCTCCTTTGGGGAAACCAAATAGCTCAGCAGGACAATTAGAAGGTTCTGATCAGGCAGGGTCAATACCAGAAGTTAAATGGGTCATTAAAGAAATGAAACAGGCATTAGGAATGATGGAGCAGGTAATGGTCAGATTAACCAGGAAATTGAAGTCCTGATGTAGAGAAAAGGAAATGAAAATGGATGTTAGGCAGTGGTGTGCTGTTAAATGTTTAACAATTGACTTCCTGTAGGAAAAAAACAACCACCTTGATTTGTAGTATTTGCTGATATCCATAGTGTAAATATTCCCTTCATGGCTGAGTTCTAGTTACCTATATGATGTCACTGAACACAGAGTTAGGAAGTCCCGTAAAAGCGAGCTAGTGTGGGGGCCGGCCCAATGGCATAGTGGTTAAGTTCGCGGGCTCCGCTTTGGGGACCTGGGATTTGCAGGTTTGGATCCTGGGCGTCGACCTACACACTGCTCATCAAGCCATCCTGTGGTGGCATCCCACATACAAAATAGAGGAAGACTGCCACAGATGTTAGTTCAGGGCCAATCTTCCTCAAGCAAAAAGAGGAAGATTGGCAATGGATGTTACCTCAGGGCCAATCTTCCTCACACAAAGAGAAAAAAAAGTGAGCTAGTGTGAAGTGACAACAGCATACTGCCAGCAGTAACCTGGGGGCCAGTTCTGTCTGCTACTACCTAGCTATGTTACTCTAGTAAGTAATTTAACCTTTCTGGATCTCAATTTCTTCATCTTAAAATATCAACCTCATAAGATTATTGTGAGAATCAAATGAAACTAATTTGTCTCCATCTAAGATCTCTTCCAGCTCTGACCTTCTATGGTTCTGTGATGGAGTTGGCCATATTGGTGGCTTTTCGCCTATTTCCATCTCACACCAAGTCTTTTGAGCAGGAAGAAGACAAGAGAATCCTAGAGGAAGCTGCTCTAGAGCATGGTAATCAGAGCAGAAGCCACATCCACGTTACCTTAGAGATGAGGTTCAAGGCGGTGACCACTCCAGATTTTCTATTTAGGAGAGATTTCTGGGTGGGAATCTGTTTGGAAAGTGGGGCTAGAGAATTTATACACTTGTATTATTTTAATGGTATATTTATTTGGGATGACTTAGAGGTGTAAATGGTGCCCAGGGCCAATGCAATGTATATATGCCCTCTCTTCCTACACTGTACCAGAATCTGCCTTATAATGAAGAATACATAGTGAAACTAGGGTGTGTTCATATTTTAATGTCCAGCAAATCTAAAGGGAGAAACTCAGTGTTAACTTTCTTTGACTGCTATCTTTATGTCACTTCTGTTGACTGGTGCCTGGGGACATAAGTTGCCCTCAATGCCCCCTGTGCTATGTATCTGAATTGGAGCGACAAGTGCCCAGCTCATCCCCTGAGCCATCATTTGGTGACACCATTAGATCAGAATGGGTATTTGGGACCTCTCTACCTCGTCCTGTTGGTTAAATGTAACTGGAAGTAAATAAACCGGGAGTCAGAGGAATAAATAAAAGTGACTGGAAGCTTGGCCCCTGCTGGGATTCCCAGGGCTTCAAACTAATGATCCAGATGAAGGGAAATTCTGATCTCGATGTGCTGTTGAAGTAGATGGAAGAGAAAACCATCAACCAGCCATTCAAAAAAGTCCGAGTGCAACGGGGTTTAGTAAGGTATAAGAGACATAATACCTTGTGCTTCCGGAGGCTGCCAGGACTGGTGGGCGTAGAGATGGGAGACTGCTTAGACTTGGGGGTAGAGAGCTGGCTGCTTGAGGTTCCATTTGCTAGCCCAATGCAAGAGAAAAGGAAGGGATAAAAATCAACAGCATACAAAGGAACACGTTATCCTTCCCCTCTGAAGACACTAAGAACATTCGAACAAGGTACACAGACAACCAAGTGATTTGATGAGTAGAGCAAAGGTGAAAAGAAACACATTCCTCAGAAAGGCAAGAACTGCAATCCTCAGTTAATTAGATCCCGGCGCAGTGCAAGGCAGTAATCCTCCCACCCTTTCCCCTGAGTGCTTCCAATTACAGGGGTCTGGTTCTTTTCAAATCTTTTTCATATTCATTCCCAAGTTTGACCCTAACAACATCTCTGGCAGGTAGTCTGGGAACATACTATTTTGTTTCAATTTTGTAAGTGAGAAAAAAGTGAGGCACAAAGAGGTTATGTGCCTTATCTTAAAGTGGAAGAAATATGGGTGATTCAGACCAGGGCACATCCCTTTTTGTGGCAGATGATGTGGCATGTGCAGGACAGCCCCATTGTCAATCTCTCCCCCACCTCCTTTTCTACTCATCTTCCCCCAACCACCACTCTCTCTTCCCTCCATCATTCTGGGTGAAAAGAACAGAAGGAAAGAAAGAGAAATGGGTCTAGGCGAGAAGAAGAATAAAAGAAAGTGGAGGAGAAACAGAGAGTAAAAGAGTAAAAAAGGTTCAAACAGCAAAATGGGCAAAGGAGAGAATCATAAAGGAGAGAGAAAGAGATCAAGAATGGAGGAGAGGGGAGACAAGAAAGAGTAAGAAATTAAGAGAAGAGAAGAATGAGGAAGTTTGAAATAGGGAGAAAGACATTGACAATGTCTTTGAAAGGCAGACAATGGCTACCTGAGTCAGAGTGCACCCCCATTTGTCTCTAGTCAATAAAATGCCCAAAAGAAGATGGTTTACTATTTAACATCTTCATATTCCATTGTGTTTGCAAATTGTTTTATATTCCCTTGCTAATGAGCTTTTTAAATATCCAGTCATGTAAAAAGAAATGTGGTGCATTGAAACGGAACGATTAAACAGCTTCCAAAGTGGATTCACGTTCAGACATCTCACGCTAAACTTAATTTTCTTTTAAATCTAAGGATCTACATTGTTAATCAGAGATATTCTGAAATGTGCTTTAAAATTAAAGGCAAATATCCCAAGGGTGTGGGGTGGGGAGACAGAGGGAGGGAGGAGGAGAGAAAGAAGGAAGAAAGGAAGGCAGGAGATTAGGAGGGAGAAGGAGAGATTGAGAGAGAAACACAGAGAGAATATAGAAAATTGAAAAGGTTAGGTAGGAATATGGCCTGAGAGTGTTGCTGTTAGCCCCACAGGTAAAGCTTAAACTACTGTATTATGAATATTTTCTGAGGATATACTTCGTCTGCACCACTTATGGTAATGTTTCCCTAGGTTCTGGAAGCTGCATATCAACTGTAGAGACAGAAGAGACATCAGTATGGTAGTTGCTAAGTTTATCCAAGTGCAAGTGAGCTGAAAAATGAGCACTTAGGCATCCACTGTCTGGTTTTACTTGTATATTCACTCATCTATCATCCATTCACTGAGAGGCCTTTCTGCCTGTCAGGGCTTCCTGGAAGTCATTCATTCATTTAGCCAATAGTTATGGGGTACTTCTTCTGAGCCAGGCCAAGTATTAGACATTGGGGTTTCAGAGACGAGTAAGTCAATTTCTGTGGGGAGGCAGGCAAGAATATAGTGAGCTAAGTGCTATGTCAGATCCATGCAAGGAGCATTATTGGCGCCTGCAGTAGAGGCTTTGAAATCAGGGGACTGGGAGGCCAACAAGAGGAGGCAACACCTGAAAAAATCTTGGAAGATGACCCTGGAATAGACAAATCTATAGAGACAGAAAGTAGATCAATGGTTGCCAGCAGCTTGCCAGGAGGGGTGGGAGAAGTGGGGGGGGGGGGGGGGAATAGGTATAGAGTTTTTTTTAGGGGTATAAAGATGTTTTGGCATTAAATAGTGGTGATTATTGCACAACTCTGTGACTAAACTAAAATCCATTGAATTGTACATTTTAAATGAACGAATTGTTTGCTATGTGAATTGTATCTCAATAAAGCCATCAGAAAAAGATGAATTGGAGCTAGTTAGGCAGGAAGGGTAGAAAAGGTATTCTAGAGTTTAAAATTGCACCAGTAGGGGCAAAGACATGGCGGTATGAAAGAATACAGTATGTTTACAGAAGTGCAAACAGCTCAAAATGGCTCAAGCATAGGGTGCCAGCAGTGAGCTCTAACAGATGAGACTGGAAATGAGGGTAAAGCTCAGACATTGGGGGCCTTTTGTGGGGTGTTCTCTGAAGTTTGGGAGTGAGTTGAGAAATAAATCTGGGAGTGACACCATCAAATTTGTATTTTAAAACTATTACTCCAGTCGCTGTGGTAAGACCTACGAGGTGAGGCAGGGTGGAATGGGGATTGGTTAGAAGACAATGCATTAGTACAGGTGAGAGGTGATGGTGGCTTAAATTAAAGCAATGAGCAGGGAGAGAAGGGGCATGGCGTAGGACAGAGACCTTGAGGCTGGACAAGCTTTGAGTGTTATGTGCATATACAATGTAAGCCACCCAAAGGAGAATGTCACCTGTGCCGAACAGCACAGACTGTGGGAGCTAGGCTTTGCCATTGCACTAGGCTTTCTGGTGAATAAAGGAGGCAGTTTGGAAAAGGCAAGAGTCTGTGAAGCCACAGTGGGACAAAGTAGTCAATTACTCTGCAGGAAAAGGAAGGAGTTACTGGACCACCTACAGTGCCTGAGGGCCTACCCAGCAGGACCTGACCCTAGTATTCAAGATAGAGAGCAATCCTGGAGATCTGTCTGAGCTGACATAATGGAAGTCTTCCAAAAGAGCCCCGACTTCAGCCAGGAAGTCTAATAGATGTGGGCAGCCCCCGGTAAGTTCCGGCATTTTGTTTCACATCATCGTTATATCCTTTGGCAACAAGAGATCTAGTTTCCCAGCATTTGTCAGCCATGCTACAAAGGGGTGGCTACTAATAGTCCCAATGTAAAAACTGTCTTTTTCACCTACACTCTTATCTAGCTGACAATGAGCCCACCGGTCTTGCCAAAATGTGGAAAACTGTTAACCACAAGCATGTCTCCACCTATTGGTCATAGATCTACAGATACAGGTTCTTTCATAACTTCCTTTTTTTATTCTCAATATCCTCTGGAACTCTCTGTCTCAAAAACTTTAGGGGTAATACACGAATATATATTCCATCTATACCTCTCTATAGATAGATTCTCTGCATATGTGTATATGTGTGTATACATTCCCCTACCATTCCCCCAGCTAATCAATCTTAAGCTATCTGTAAATAAAGGACTTATTTTGTCATCACCATTCAACAGCCATTTTGGAAATCTGTTTTTAATAATTTAACTGCCACTCACTGCTTTGTTGAAAACTGCAGACACTTTCCCAGACTTCCCTGATGGAATGGAACCCAAAGATGGACGTAGAGAAATGAGAAAATGTAGACATGCACAGGCAAATGTCGATTCCTGACAAGCTGAAGGAGCTCCTGCATTTACAGGCTAGATAAAAATATATTCGTGTATGCACTTCTTCTGTGAGTTCTGTGTGAAAAAAATCTGGGAGGGTGCCATTTGACAAGAATTTTGAAGCCAATTCATAAATGTCAAGTAAAAGAAGTAGCAAGAAAAAACACAAATAGGGTCTGACGAACTGTGCATGGTCTTGGATTGGCAAATCCACATGGAAGGCTGTCACAGTTCATTTTGAGAATAGCTGGAAAAAACACAACTGTTTGATATCCCTCATTTTCCTTTAATTCTTCTTTACTAACTGCCCTTAGCTCTTGTCTCTGAGCTTCCATTTCTCAACTGCAATTTGGGGATGTGTGGGTGGGGGAACTTCTCCCTCTTTTACTTCTCTCACTTTCTCATTTCCCTCCATAGAACCACAGCACTATCTCACTGTTGTCACTTCTATTTACACAAATCCAAATCCTTTAATTCCTTTCTTCTCATTGTATAGTTAATTTTTACCCCCTCTATAACAAGTTGCACCAGGAACTTTTCAATCTCCTAGGCCATCTTATCAATCAAAACAGGATAATAATTAGTGTTTATTGAGTGCCTATGATAGGCCAGGCGCTCTTCTCTCTCTCTCTCTTTTTCCCACTTTCTCTCTGTCTCTGTGTCTGTCTGTCTATCTCTCTCTCTCTCACGCACACTCACACACACAATCTAATTTAGTTGTAGTCTTATTTCTGATGGGGAAACAGAGGCTTGCTCCAGTTAGGGGTAGCAAAATCAGGATTTGAACGCAGATCTTTCTGATTCCAAAGCCTACGTGTTTTTTGTTTTCAGTTTTGGGTACATTGCCCTTTCTTTTTAAAATGAATTTCTTCTGGGACTCCTTCCTATGACAACTTTCTGTTTGGGGGTAGGAAGGAGAGAGGAAATTTATAGCAGAGAAAAGAGAAAGGAATAGGAGAAAGTAGAAGCAGACACCAGAACTTATACTGATCTTCTGGGCTTTTATTCCACTTGATCTTGTTTAGATTAGAAAGTGATTAGCAAGAGCTTTCTTTCATTCACTGAACTGACTGGGTATCATAGACAATGTCATGAAACAATAGCAGACAGAGCAGCCAGCATGGCATGTAACTACCCTCATGCCACAGAGCTCTCTGGGAAGATGGTATCTGTGCCCTGTCTGTCACTCTCCTCAGCTGGTACCCTTCAGCTATGCACTTGCCAAGCTTGGCCCGGCACAGTCTTCGCTCACTGGCTTCTCTGAATGATTATGCCTGCCCTTGTCCCAGTGCTCATCTTTAAATCCTCGGCTCCATCAGAATGGAACAGGATAAGACCAGACATAATATGGCTGGTTAGGTAACTAGGATGAGTTACCTAGATTTATATGTATGGGGAGAAATGGGTTCCTAGGAGTGAAGAATAAGGTGGAGTGAGTCAGTTCCCCAAAGAACAAGGAGAGAGAGTCTAGTTTCTGGCAT